CCCCCTAGGGGGTGTCCACCTGCCAGCTTAGGCCCGCTCCCTGGGGGATTGGGCCTAAGCTGGCAGTCAGACATACCTCTGGCAGCATGGGAGCCATTGGGGGATGTCAGAGTGTGGCTTAGTCCCACTCACTCCTGGAAGCAGGCCGAAGCCACAGTCAAACGTCCTTAGCCCAAGCTGAGAAGTGGGAGAGGCTCCCACCACCACCGCTGTACTGGCAGCCGGCAGCCTGGCTTGTGGCTTAGCAGAGCTCCCCCTGTGGGAGCACACAGACCACCAGAAGCAGCTCCTGCACTAACCGTCTGCCCCCTGGTGGTCAGTGTGTCATAGTGACCAGTCATTGCAATTCATTTTGCAGTTAGGGTCAATTTGCATATTAACCTTTTATTATATAGGATAGAGGCCTGGTGCATGGGTGGTGGCCTACTGGTTTTCTCTGAAGGGTGTACCAGATCAGGGTGGGTGTCCTGCTAAGGTGCCTGGCCAGCCTGAGTGAGGGGCTGAGGGCCGTATTCAGACTTGCCACACCCCCTTCAGGGTGGGGGACCCCGCTGGAGTGCCTGGCCAACCTGGATGAGAGGCTGAGGGCCGTTTTCAGGCTGGCCACACCCACTTCAGGGAGAGGAGTTCTCCTGAGGTGCCTGGCCAGCCTGGTTGAGTGGCTGATGGCTGTTTGCAGGAGGGACACAGCCCCTTCAGGGTGGGGGTCCCCACTGGAGTGCTGGCCAGCCTGGGTGAGGGGCTACGGGCCGTTTTCAGGCTGGCCACACCCCCTTCAGGGTGGGGGGTCCTGCTGCTGTGCCTGGCAAGCCTGGGTGAGTGGCTGATGGCTGTTTGCAGGCTGGCCACAACTCCCAGCCAACCAAGCTCCCAGTGGAGGCTGGCTGGAAGCAGGTATCTGGGATTTATTTATCTTCTATAATTGAAAATTGTAGCCTTGAGCGGAGCAAGGCAACCCAGGCTCCCAGCGCCTCCTTAAGCAGAGGCCACAGCCAGCCGGAAACAGGTTTCTGGGATTTATTTATCTCTTATAATTGAAACTTTGTATCCTTAAGCGGAGCCCAGGGCTGGCTAGGGCAGGCAGGAAGCTTGGTTTCCTCCATCCCCGGGGCAACCCAGCCCCCTGCTCACTCCAGCTCCCTGGTGGGTTAATTTGCATATAGTCACTCTGATTGGCTGGTGGGCATGACTTGGGCATAGCGGATGTGCAGTCAATTTGCATATTTCTCTTTTATTAGATTAGATATCTATATAATAAAAGCCCAGAGACTGTTATGGTGAACCGACCAAAACGACCAGTCCTAATGACGTGCACTGACCACCAGGCGGCAACACTCAAGGCAGGACCTGCACCCTGGTGATCAGTGCGCTCCCACAGTGGTAGTGCTACTCAGCCAGAAGCCAGGCTCACAGCTGGTGAGCACAGTGGTGGTGGCAGGATCCTCTCCCACCTCCACAGCAGCGCTAAGACCAAGCAGTAAGGAGTGAGCAGGCATAAGGCAAGGAGCGAGCAGGCAGACAGTTAGAAGCTAGAGGTCCCAGATTGCAAGAGGGTGCAGGACAAGCTGGAGGGCCCCCACACGCACGAATTTCGTGCATCAGGCCTCTAGTATATATATAAAAACCAAATGTGGAAATCATCCCCTCGGGAGTTCAACTGGAAGACTGGGAGTTTGATCGCTCACTATGACATGCACTGACCACCATGGAGTCATGCAGAATGAAGGAAGAACCCGGACAGCAGCCGGCAGCTGCAGAAAGGAGGCCCTGGGAGGCAGCTGGCAGCCAGGGGAAGGAAGGCCCTGGCAGGCAGATGGATGGCCCTGATTGGCCCTTATCATTGGCCAGACATAAGGATCCTACCCGTGTACAAATTTTGTGCACTGGGCCTCTAGTTGAGATATAATTGACATATAACATTATGTGAATTTGTGTACAACATGTTCATTTGAAACACAGATTGCAAAATGATTAGCACCATAATGTTAGCTAACACCTGCATCTCTTCACATCATTACCATTCTTTTTTTATGGTGAGAAAACATTTAAGACCTATTTTCTTTGCAACTTTAAAGTGTACAATAGAGTATTGTTAACCTGAAATACCATGCTGTACACTAGCTACCCAGAACTTACTCATCTTATAACTAGAAGTTTATACCCTTTCACCAACATCTCCCCATTTCACTCATGGTTAGCTGTCTAATTGTTGGCCTCGTTGTGGGATAAGTCCAGGGTCTCATACCCTGCCGTGTTGGTGACATTATCGTTTCAAATAGACATCCAGTAACTTCTTAGTAGGAATTAACAAAATTTCCCTGTAGTCCGAGTAAAAACAAATGAAAACAAAAGACCAGTAAGAGGAAATCTAAATCTTGGTAATAATTTAAATGTTCACAAAATTCTGCATTGCCCGTGACAATGTGAAGGATCCAGTGAAGATGTCCACACAATCATATTTCTTGCTCAAATTAAGCACATCCTTTATCAGAGTGACATGAAAATAAAGGGGTCAGGTCAGCACAACTCTTCAGGTACATGCTTCCTAGTTACACAATGAGGAAAAGTTTAAGTACTGAGAGTCAAATAGGAAATTAGCACTGCACAGAGGAAGGCTTGTCTGCAAATTAGGTCCTCTGTGGTTCAGGTGAATCTTTAAGTCTCGGGTCCATTATTCTTATTTTAAAAATAATTATTTATCTTTCAATTACAGCTAATGTACAATATTATATTAGCTTCAGGTGTACAACCCAGTGATTAGACATTTAAGTAACTTACGAAGTGCTCACCCGGCTAAATCTACTACCCATCTGAGACCATACATAGTTATTACAATACTATTGACTATACTAGAGGCCCAGTGCATGAAATTTGTGCACTGGGGGGGGGGAGGGGGGTCCCCAGCCTGGCCTGTGCCCTCACACAGTATTTAGCCCCACAATTGATCTCTACAAAGAGGTAGGCCATGCCCACCCATCCAGAGCTCCTCAATGGATTGCCACAAAGTGGTAGGCCAGAGCCAGGGGTCCCACCCTGGCACTGCTGGGTGGAGCCATGGGACCTTCCTCTGCACCATGCATACAGTGTCAACTCCCTGCCCACCCACATGCATCTGCTGCACACACAGTCTCTGGGTGATGGATTGTTACACTGTGACAGCGTGAGGGTGTGACAACCACATAGGTTTTTATTCGTATAGATTCCCTATGCTATGCTTCACAACCCCATGACTATCCTGTTACTACAAATCCAATTTGTACTTCTTAATCCCTTCATGTTTTTCACATATCCCCCCAACTCTCCTCCCATCTAGCAACCATTCAAATGGACTCTGCATCTGTGAGTCTTTATCTGTTGCTGTTTGTTGATTTATTCTGTTTTTTGGATAACACGTATAAGTAAAATCATATGACATTTACCTTTCTCTTTTTGTCTTATGTCACTCAGCACAGTATCCTGTAGGTCCACCCATGCTGTTGCAGACGGCAAGATTTCCTTCTTTTTAATGGCTCAGTCATATTCTATTGCCTAGATGCACTACTTCCTTATCCACTCACCTACTGATGGGCACATGAGTTACTCCCATATCTTGGCTATTGTAAATAATGGTGCAATGAACATATGGATATATATTTTGGTATTATATTCATTTTTAAAATATATTTTTTATTAATATCAGAGACGATGGAAGAGGGAGAGAGAGATAAAACATCAATGATGAGAGAGAATCATTGATCAGCTGCCTCCTGCACGCCCCTCATTGGAGATCGAGCCTACAACCCGGGCATGTGCCCTTGACTGGAATCGAACCCGGGACCTTTCAGTCCTCAGGCGGACACTCTATCCACTGAGCCAAACTGCCTAAGGCAGGAGCAGCCAGTCTTGACACATCCAGGCCCCTGCACCCGAATAAAGAGCTGCACCCTTTTCTTTTAAAGAGAGTGGATGTCATTAATTATCCCCTTTTTATTCTTTCAGCTGTGGGGTACAGATTTTGACCCAGAGAGAGTCCTCCCAGCCCTGCAGAAGACACTCCAGGACGTCCACCTAGATTATGTTGATCTTTACATCATGGAAACGCCCATGGCTTTTAAGGTGCGTTCAGACACCTAAGGTTTGGCCTCTGCTCTTTGGCAGCCAAGACCCAGCAGCCATGTGCACAAAGCTAGTTCATTACTTAGCACCACAGAATGTTATCGTTTTGTTACTGTAGGTCAGACAGCACTGACCTAACCCAACAAATGCCCAGAAAGATTTTGTGTAACAGACTCAGGCTTGGATCTCATGGTTCTTGATTCCTAATCCAATGCACTTTCTATTACAACATGTCTTTACAACTGTAGTTTAAATTCTCTCCATCAATCCATCACATAGTCACCAAACGGTACTCCATATTTTAATTGTCCAGCATCCAGACACACCCTTCTTCCCACTCATATAGTTATGAAAATATTCCTGCACGACAAAACGCAAAATAATATATACAACTGAAAACTTATTCACCTTCCACCCCCAAAAAGGGAAATAACCCAAAGAATGATCAGGTTTTGGGGGGGTCAGCAACAAGATCATGGTGATAGCTATTCCTCTGGTTCAAATGCACTTCTTCCTTAAACTTTCTCAATCTATGGACTCTGTGTTAATTTAAACACCAACACATCCCTACTGCTTTAAAATGTCTCCGAGAAAGGAGAGACTGAAAATGAAACTGGTCATTGAGATACCCAGATTTCTTTCACATGAGCAACCTGGCTGCCCCTGTTCTGTTCTCCGGAAGCTCTTTCCTTGATGACTCTTCTCTATGGTAACATCTAAGAGGAACTTTGGTAGATTCCCCTTTTGCATTCTTCATACGAATTTGCAAGCTTCACAATGGCCTTGGTTAAGTAAAGGCCAGTTTGGGATTTCGTGGACAGTCAATATTCCTTAAAAATTTGCTTGGCTTTCAGTAAATTCACATTCAGTCAGCTCCATTAAAGAGTAATTAAAACTAGAAATCTTCTTGTATCTAATCTTTAGTCTGTGGTTTCTGCATCTTAGTAAAGAAATATCCTTTCCCCCTCATCTGATCAGTCCTTAACTTAATGCCCCTTCTGACTTGAAATAATACAAAACAGGGAGGCACAGGTTATGCATTCTTTGCACCCAGTCTCCATCTCGTTGGATGGTGCTCCTTTGTTGGTTGTGGCATCATTGGCCTGAGATCTTGCCTTCAGAAACGAATGGACAAGGATTCTCCCAAAGTCCAATTTTATTTCCCTCTAGGATTCTTACCTTCCTGTCCTGGCTGACACAGACTTTTCTAACTCTAGAAGGCTCAGAGCTGAACTTCTGCCATTTGGGGAGGCATCTAGAAGCAGAAAGTACCTGTTTTAGCAAAATATGATCTTACCACTCATCTTACAAGCCAAGTAGCAATAAACACATTTATATTTCTTCAGGACCTGACTGAAGACTGCAAAAATGGCCAACAAACTCTAACACCCAATGTTTTCCTACTAAGTGCCCTGCAGC